AACCATCAATCACTTAATTAACCCTCGCACTGAGTTCCTCAATGAGGTTAAAATTATATTAAATGCACCAGTTCAGTAGAATCTGGGGTACTTGCTTTCCTGTGTCGGGGGTTCCCTTCCTTGTCTGCTGAAAGGGGTTTCCCGAGGTTGCTGATTGGCTGGAGGTTTAGTCTTGGGAACTGATTTATGACATCCTGTTGTCTTGGGCCTCTGTGGAATTTTTGTGCTCCTAATGTTTGACCAAATCTTAGATTGTCTGATTCGGTCTGATATCCTACACCATGTTCTTTGAATATAAATTCCATCGACTGCGCGCAAGTGATTCTGGGATATGGTAGGGTGCGAAGTGTCCATCAGATGTACACTTAATTTTCCTGGGAAATGGAGGGTGCATTTGAAGTCGCTTTTGAAATATGTCAGCCTTCGACGCGCCGCGGTGACGCAATCGGCCTTGGAATGCGGTCTTCGGAGGATGCATTCTGAATTGGGACAGCTTACATCAGGCTTGTTTGAGATGAGCAAAATCTGCGCAGAACCGATTCCCGGTGATCACCGCGAGATGCATGCCGGTTAGAAAAGTGTCTGAGTTACGTCCGACTTGTTCTGATGTCATGCTGACGTCACGTGTGCCAAAAAACTCTGGCGACGGCGAGGCGGCTGTGTCGGATTGTGCAGTCGGGCGCAGTTGCTCTCCACCGAAAGCGCTGATCAAAAGCATGATGGGAAACGACTGACTGACGGCACAGCTTAATGCTCATTGGTTCAGACAACCGTGATGCTGCGTTCTCTTCTAAAATATTTCATTTTTTTTATCTGATTTCATGTGATTTTGTGTTTAAATGATGCATGAATGTTCCCAAACACTATGACAGTGCAACCATGAGATATGTGATTGTTGTCATATTTCTATAAAAATCTAAAATACAAAATTACGTTCTGTGAAGACCAGAGAGGTTAAGAGGTCTCTCATAAGGAATTTCAGTCTGTTCTGTCTCGTGATGTGGAGGGAAAAGTCAATCCGAAGCTTGTGATCACTGTCACATGTTTCCATGTGGCGGTCACGCTGTGCATCTCTTTTGACCATTATTCTTGATAACTTGCCCCAAAATTGACAATCTCCTTGGACTTGTCAATGTGTTCTTTTGTGTTAATGTTGAAAACTGTTCTGTGACAGGGGGGGGTTTAGGCTTGCTTCAGCCTGGCTAATGCTCGGGTCTGATTTATGACATCCTGTTGTCTTGGGCCTCTGTGGAATTTTTGTGCTCCTAATGTTTGACCAAATCTTAGATTGTCTGATTCGGTCTGATATCCTACACCATGTTCTTTGAATATAAATTCCATCGACTGCGCGCAAGTGATTCTGGGATATGGTAGGGTGCGAAGTGTCCATCAGATGTACACTTAATTTTCCTGGGAAATGGAGGGTGCATTTGAAGTCGCTTTTGAAATATGTCAGCCTTCGACGCGCCGCGGTGACGCAATCGGCCTTGGAATGCGGTCTTCGGAGGATGCATTCTGAATTGGGACAGCTTACATCAGGCTTGTTTGAGATGAGCAAAATCTGCGCAGAACCGATTCCCGGTGATCACCGCGAGATGCATGCCGGTTAGAAAAGTGTCTGAGTTACGTCCGACTTGTTCTGATGTCATGCTGACGTCACGTGTGCCAAAAAACTCTGGCGACGGCGAGGCGGCTGTGTCGGATTGTGCAGTCGGGCGCAGTTGCTCTCCACCGACTGCGCTGATCAAAAGCATGATGGGAAACGACTGACTGACGGCACAGCTTAATGCTCATTGGTTCAGACAACCGTGATGCTGCGTTCTCTTCTAAAATATTTCATTTTTTTTATCTGATTTCATGTGATTTTGTGTTTAAATGATGCATGAATGTTCCCAAACACTATGACAGTGCAACCATGAGATATGTGATTGTTGTCATATTTCTATAAAAATCTAAAATACATGTTTGTATTTAGGCAGAGTAGGCTACTGCTTGCTAAGGCGGAGGGCATCTCCAGGCCTACACTCTCTCAATATGTGGACAACAAAATTTGTAAATCAGTTGATAAAATCCTGTTTAATTTTGTTTGGAAAAACAAAATCCATTATGTTAAGAAGTCTGTATTAATGAACACATATGAGTATGGTGGGTTGAATTTCCTTGATTTCTCTTCTTTGAACAACACTTTCCAAATTAATTGGATTAGACCGTTTTTGTGTAATCCAAACTCAATGTGGAATTTTATCCCCAATTAGTTCTTTTCCAAATTAGGTGGTCTCCCTTTCCTATTGATCTGTAATTATAGTATTGCTAGAATCCCTTACAATTTATCTCAATTTCTTAAACAGGCATTACTTGAATGATCATTAATCATTAAGCACAACTTCTCCCTTCGCCGTTACTTCATTTGGAACAATCAAGACATTGTATATAAGAGAAAATCTTTGTTTTTTAGTAGTTGGTTTGAGAAAAACATTTTGATTGTTTCCCAGTTATTTAACTCAGAAGGTCTTATTTTAAGTTACGAAGAATTCTTATGTAAATTTAATTTTCCAGTAACTCCCAAAGAATTCTCCATTGTCATGGGACGCTATTCCTAAAGGAGCTGTTATGCTTTTAAGGGACTCTGTTAGATCATCCAGCACGTTATCTATTTCTTTAGACCCATTTGAAATCCCAGTGCTTTTTGTCACATCCTTCATCACGTAACTATAAGATTAGATCGCTTTTTTTCAAAAGGAGCTTGTAACAACTCCATACACTCTTAAAAATAAAGGTGATTCACGATGCCATAGAAGAACCTTTTTGTCTAAATGGTTCCATAAAGAACCTTTAACATCTGAAGAAACTTTCTGTTTCACAAAAGGTTCTTTGTGGCGAAATAAGGTTTTTCAGATTCAAAAAAATGCAAGAAAGAGATGGTTCTTTAAAGAACCTTTGACTGAATGGTTCTTTGTGGAACCAAAAATGGTTCTTCTATGGCATCTCTTGAAGAACCTTTTGAAGCACCTTTATTTTTAAGAGTGTATGTGGGGTCTTATTGGAAGAATGAGGTTGATTATATTGATTGGAAAAAAGTATGGACTCTGTCTTCGAAATACATAATAACTAACAAGGTTAGAGAAATCTCATTCAAATTGTTACACAGATTTTACCCAGCTAAAGTGTTTTTGAAAAGGTTTAAATCAGACATAGATATACAAGCTGTTCTAATGAAACTGATATGCATATCTTTTGGGATTGTCCTCACACACAGCTATTTTGGATTGCATTTTCTAATGTTATCAATCGCAGTGTACTCCAGGGTTTATCACTGCTTTTTAAGGATGTGCTGTTTGGCTTCTTTAATATACAAAAAGATCAAATTTATGAATATTTTATTATTAACCTATTATTACGTCTTGCAAAATTTCATATTCACCGCAGTAAATTCACTCATCAAAATACTTTATATATTGTTTATAAAAAAAAAAGAGGTTCAACAGTATATCCAAACTATTTCATCTTCCAAAGAATTCTCAAGGCTTTTAAAACGGTTAATTTATTTAATCTTTTACATTTATTTTTCGTTTTGTATTATGTATTTATTGTTACATGCGTCTATAAATGGTGCTTTGCATGTAATGTCACCTCTTTGTATGTAATGTTGATATTCTCTGTATTTTTATATTTTGTACCTTGGCATTAAAAAAAAAAATAATAAATTTAAAGTCCACGCACTTCAGTTTGGGACACAGCTATAGCCTATAGTTAGTAAGATTATCAGGTGCTATGAGTGCCTCGGCACACCGATGACCGATTTTCTTTTGGAATGTAGGAATCGAATAAGATTAACACTGCCCTCTATCGTCCAAAACCCTTCAAAACAAGCCAGGAGACCCGGAAATAAAGACGTTGTTAAAGCTGATGTACATTAGACACTGAGCTACTGTACAGCACCATCATGATCTCAGAATGGGTCTCATATATGATGTTTTACCTGCTTGCTACTGTTTTCTGTGCGGTTCTTACATATTGTATGTATGTACATCATGTTCATCAGAAATATGATCATATACCTGGACCTCCAAGAGACAGGTAAGAAACTTATGAATGTGTTTGATACAACTACATAAAAGATATTTTAATAAGACCATTTTTGTTATTATGATCAAAGCTCATAAAATAACATGAAAACGAATACCCTGACAGTTTTCTGCTGGGGCATATTCCAACTTTTTCCAGAGGGGCAAAATCGGATAACCTTGTACAGGACTTATTTCTTCAGTGGTAAAAACAAAACACTTGAACCCATCAGAATATTTGTCGTTTATAATTTGTTTATATATTTGTCTTGTTTTGTTTTGTTTTACTTGACTAATGTCTTGTTGGTTTGAACTTGCACCTACTAAACAATGTCAGTGTTACATAACTGAAATATCACGTTGCATAGATCTCTCTCTCTCTCTCTCTCTAACACACACACACACACAGGTTTGTTTTTATGGTTTATGGGGACTCTCCATAGGCGTAATGGTTTTTATACTGTACAGACCGTATATTCTATCGCCCTACACCAACCCTACCCCTAAACCTACCCCTCACAGGAAACTTTCTGCATTTTTAGATTTTCAAAAAAACAAATTCTGAATTATTTATAAGCCTTTTGAATTACGGGGACACTGAAAATGTCCTCATAAATCACCTTCTCGTTGTAATACCTATGTCATACCCATGTTATTATACAAATTTGTGTCCTCATAAACCACATAAACATGCACGCACACACACACACACACACACACACACAAGCATTTAGTAGAGCGTGTTCTCAGCACTGTGACCATGTTCGTGTTTTTAAGGGCAGAAAAATATGGCCCTGTCTACAGGCTGAACAGTTTTCATTATGTTGTGATCAAAGTCCATTGTCCTGAGGCTACAAAGGTAAATATTTAATTTCATTGCTGTTCGTAATCAGAAGCCTTAAAATCTAATAATACAATTATCTGCCCTGTTATTATAGACAATCCTGATGTCACCTAAGTATACCAAAGATCCCTTTGTCTACAAACGCCTCTTTAACTTGTTTGGAAAACGGTAAGCTTTAATTTGATCTAGAGATATAGTCATAGGTGTCTCAATATCTCTACACTGACAGCAGTGGGCATATTACCACATTTACCATCATCTAGAATTTTGAATGGTAGAGGCCCTATGAAATCAAATTCTGAGCTATGTGGCATTAAAGGGGTCATATGATGTTGCTAAAAAGAACATTATTTTGTGTATTTGGTGTAATGAAATGTGTTTATGCGGTTTAAAGTAAAAAAAAAAAAAACACATTATTTTCCACATACTGTACATTATTGTTTCTCCTCTATGCCCCGCAACGAAAGTAGTTTCGCTTTCACAATGAAAAACACGGCGGCCTAGCGTGAGCGGAAGCCTCGGCTTAGTGTGAGCTGAGGCCGGGCTAGTGTGAGCTGAGGCGGATTCGACGAAGGAGCAGCAACCACATGTGACGACCCCGGGCTGGCCTCCGCTTCGTCCACGGTGAAAGCCAATCCGGCGATCCACAGCACTAAGTTGATGTATTCCCTCAGCGACCAGCACGGATCAGCTCCAGGCATGACGAAGCGGATATCGTCCTCTTTTAGAAGACCAAACAAAGTAGTTTTGCTTTCACAACGAAGCACACAGCGTCTTCACGACATGGTGGCAGCGGCAACAATACTACAGCGAGAATAAAAGATACGCCTTCTTTCTTTGGGTGAACATTTGGGTGGCGTTTTGCAAATCTTCCCACATAGTGATGTAGACATGTGGGGGCGTGTTAGAACGAGGCGTTTTAGGTAGGCGTGGTTAACTCTTAACTTTTATAAAGAATATCTCTTTGGATTTGAGACTTTAGTCTTTGCAACTTTAAAGATCTTCTTTATGCACCAAGAGCTTGTAATACTCCAAAGAGAAAGGAAAAATTTAAATCGCATCATATGACCCCTTTAAGTTAATTTTTGATAGCTTTAAATCCATCTATATTCCTCTATATGTGTATTTGACTGGAGGAGACAGTACAGACGGTGTGTCTTCTTGACTATAAGAAAATGATGAAATATAACTGTCGCTCATTTGCTCACTTTTTGTGGACCCATTTTCATCCCTGTTTTAAGGAAGTCACCCCAATACGATTCACAGAATGATCCAATTGTATTTAAAGGGGTATCTGCTTATCGTGACATGAAGCAAACAATTATATGTTGTGCTATTCATGGGTTCCTGTACATTTTACAAAGCAATATGCCTATTTTTTAGGATTTATAGAATTTTTTTTTTTTTTTATGTGTTATTAACATGGTTCGGGAGGAGCATGATCAGATAATCAACCAATTTGGCACAGGTGTAACTCGTTTAGCTATCCATCCTAACTAACAAAATACGTATATATACAGTGGTGTGAAAAAGTGTTGGCCCCCTTCCTGATTTCTTATTTTTTTGCATGTTTGTCACACTTTAATGTTTCAGATCATCAAACAAATTTAAATATTAGTAAAAGATTACACAAGTGAACACAACATGCAGTTTTTAAATGAAGGTTATTATTATTAGGGGAAAACAAAATCCAAAACTACATGGCCCTGTGTGAAAAAGTGTTTGCCCCCTAAACCTAATAACTGGTTGGGCCACCCTTAGCAGCAACAACTGCAATCAAGCGTTTGTGATAACTTGCAATGAGTCTGTTACAGCACTGTGGAGGAATTTTGGTCCACTCATCTATGCAGAATTGTTGTAATTCAGCCACATTGGAGGGTTTTCGAGCATGAACCGCCTTTTTAAGGTCATGCCACAGCATCTCAATAGGATTCAGGTCAGGACTTTGACTAGGCCACTCCAAAGTCTTCATTTTGTTTTTCTTCAGCCATTCAGAGGTGGACTTGCTGGTGTGTTTTGGATCATTGTCCTGCTGCAGAACCCAAGTTCGCTTCAGCTTGAGGTCACGAACAGATGACCGGACATTCTCCTTCAGAATTTTTG